TTGAGCAGGCAGGCATATGTCCCCGCATCATAACGCCTTGACGTTGCAAGATGGGAAAGGCCAGGAAAATGCCAAGAGCTCCCCATCCTCATCCCTCAGTAACGTTTGGTCTTTTTCTGAGAGTTGCGGCTCCTCGAGCCCTGGGATTCTGGCAGAGCCAAGCCTTTCGGTGTGGCTGGAGGGGTTGGGTTTTTAAGGGCCCTTTCCAATCCGTCTGTTGTTGACACTACGTATCTGTAAGCGTGCTTTCTTAGACAGACAAATGAGGGCTAAGTTTTAATATCATAACTATAAAATCATATCCTTTACTAGAACTACAAGTTACTTTTCCCTTCTTTTGTATGAATAATGGTAATAATTCGTCTAATGATGGCAGTGGTCACAGCAATCCTTATTCAATCTTAGCAGGAGGAAATTTTGCAGTTTCTCTGCATGTAAAACTTCCATTATTTGGATGGGGTTCCTGTGGCATAGGTCATTATATCTGTAATATGTATTTATAGTTGTTTAAAGACCTGAATAGTTTATGGAATAAATTCTGATGCGATATCGCCAGGAGGCCTGTGGGTTTTCATTGTGCTATTGATTAAAAAGCCCACCACTACACAGTGGAGATAAGAGAAAGAATTGGAAACTGGGTGAAAATTCCTTTTACTCTGTATAAATAATTTCACGTTTGTTTTAAAAAAGGAGTCTTTGCTTATTTTTTTCCCTCAAGATAATCTCTGCCTTTGTTTGAAAAAGGTTATTGATTGGATTGTTAACTTAAATAGTCTGTGGCGGGTGTGACAGAGCACATGGCTGCAATTAATCTTGCGATGCAGAATCCATTATTGAAGAAGCACTAATGAGCCGTTCTAAGGCCTTCACTGGTCACAGAGCGCCTGGGAGCAGCAGATTGCTCCTGCCCTTTAATGTCAGTTTTGGTCTTTAGTGTTATACAGCCAGTGTAAGCAGAAGAGATTTTTAGATTTTTTTTTTTTTTTCTTTTAGGGTATTTATAATAAAATTCTCCTTGCGGCCAGCCTGCAATCGCCCCGGGTGTGGGAGACAAGACATGGTCTCTGATATTGCTCAGCCCCCTCCTCCTCTGACCAGATGTCGGGTGGACATAGTGTACAATTAAAGCCAGTGGCATGTGAAACACGGGTGTCACCATAAAATATGGTCACAGTCACAGGGTTCAGATCCAGAGGAGGGTTTGAGGGAGCTTTCAGACCTGATCTATGCTTTAAAATATTGCTTTAAGACAAAGGGATGAGCTGTTGGAAACCTTCTCGCTGCAAGTTTTATTGTCTATGTTGTTTATAGCTATTGCGGCGTAGCAAAAGTTTAGGTAGAGAATAGTTATGGTAGATTAGAAACTGTCGATGTTAACGTATCACCTTCTCCTTCAACAGAACTGCTCCCGGGGTGTATTTTAGAGGTCTGTCTATTGACTTCGGTGACACCATAAATATGTGTTACTTCTTCCCCCTGTTAGATCTACGGAGCTGATACAGACCTGTGAGGGTGATCCAGCATTTGCCAGGGCTGAGCCACCACCTGAATTATTAACTGAATTCCAGCTGCAGACTCTTTGCTGCACACCTTCACCATAGCAAATGCCGTTCATCACCAGATTAGTGAAATAAGACTGTTTCTTCATCCTGACCTCATAAGTGATGAAATTAAGCGAGAAAGACTTTCAGCTCTCTGGCTTGTGCCACAGTGTCTGTAACTTGAACCACATTTTGGACTGCTCTTTGTGTAAAACAAAATTGTTTGTGGGCTGAACTAGCCTGTTGTTTTTTTTTTAAGGGAATTTGAATCTCCCCATAGTAGCCTGCCATATGCAGCTGCAGGGCTTTATCTTCAGGTATTCTGCCACTGACGGAATGCCAAGGAGTGCTGTGATATGGAGCAGGGATGGCGTTCACTAACACTGCTCCAGGAAGTCTTGGACATGTGAATTTTCTCATAGGTCATGAAAAACACTCAGTTTGGAACCAAAGTAGCACGAAAATAGAAAGATTGTGAAGAAAGAGAGCAGGGAGTGCCAGAAAAAGAATTTTAATGTTCTGAGTATCTACTGACATGCTTGCCATACGCTACAGTGCCTGATCACGCTGCTGGCATAAGTAAAAATAGACTTTCCAATGACATTAGGTTGGGGTCATGTACCACAAGGCACGTTTTTTAATGTGAAAAAGGATCTGACTTAGAGGCTGAAGAAAGACATTTCCACGAGGTATTCTTTTTCCCTTAGACATGCCGTAAGCCCTGGGCTAACAGAGAGCAATCTGCGGCTATGCAGACATGGCTGTGAGCATTTGTTGGACTCTTTTGTAGTCACAGCATTTGGAGAGAGAGCCCAATGGAGTGAATAAATTGGTATATTTCTGCAAAATATTTCTGCGTTGCTGCTAAAAAGAAGGCACCATGGCCTTCACTCCACTATTAATGTTTCCTAAGCGATCCTCAGCCCACAAGAGCCCCTTTCTTTTAGGCTTGTGGTGGGTGTGGTTCTTAGGAAGGGCTCTGCAAAATAGGATGGATCACTTCAAGGATGAGGCGCCATCGATACGAGATGCAGCACAGAAAACCTGCAGAGGTGTTTTTGAGGCAAATGAGGAGC